ATGAAAAGAAAGAGGAGACTATTTTATGTCTGATTGACCCACACTTTAGAAATAGGCATGAATACCCTATGCTGAGCAATATATTATGTTTATTTTTGTATTACTTGGTTTTATTGCTATGACAGAAGGATAACACTGCTGGCATCTTAAATTTCTGCTTTGGCATCTTTGAGTGAGATAAAGTATGCTTCCTAGTTAATCTGATGACAGTAGTGATTGTCCAGGATTAGGAAGATGTTCAGGATAAGAGAAATGTCAGAAACTTGCTTAAGGAAAAAAAAAATCAGAATAACAAAGCAGAGTTTAGTGAAGGGGGTAAGGTTTAGAGGAACATGAGCATAGAGAGAGAGAGAGAGAAAGATGTGTGTGTGAGAGAGAGAGAGACAGACAGACAGACAGACAGACACTCCCCCTGTGGAAAATATCTCTGTAGATTTCTTACTGAAAGGTAGCGTTTGCTGTTCCCTGGACTGCCTTCCCGCTCTGGGGCGTCTTTCTATTAGAAATTTAGAGGATGTCTTATTTTCTGACCTATTTCCTTGAGGACAGTGAAGTAAGGCAGGAGATTGGGTCCCTAAGGGCCTTGTTTTGGGAAAGATCACTATAATAGCCTCTGGCAGTGAGCACGAAATAGAAACATGCTTTTATGAAGGAGAGAACCACGATTTTACATATTCTGCTCAACACCTTACTTTTGAGAAAATTAGGATAATTTTTAAATCCCAGAGAATCATTACTCTTTCAGGAGATTTACCCATGGGACTTTTTTTGTCTTGGTTTTTGTTTTTGTCATTGTCTAAATGGGCAGGCTGATGTTTTTCCGTTCAGGCTCTCAAAGAGGATGACAGCTGATCCTTTGCTTTTACGTTTTCCTCCTTCCCTGGCTGCTCCTTGGTTGTGTCCTCTGATGACCCCTCTTCCCTTCCCTAGACATGCAAGTGTTCTAGCACTCAGTTCACTTCTCTGTCTACACTCACTGTCCTGGCAATCTTATTCAGACCTGGAATAGAAGTACCATCCATTTGCCAAAATGTTTATTTCCCGCCAGTCCATCTTCCAGAATCCAAACTTGAATGTTGGGCACTCATTCACACGTATATAACAGACATATTGAACTTTACCATTCTAAAATTGAACACAGGTTATTCCTTACTTGCAAAACCTGTTACCCTCAAAGACTTTGTCTGAGTTGATGGCAGCTCTGTGGCTCTTGCCAAAAGCCTGTAGAAGTCATTAATCCAATCCATTAGAAAATCCTATTGATCGATCTCTTCCTGCAGCTTCTGCTGTCACCACCTCAGTGGAAGCCACCATCCTTTCTTGCTTAGATTATACAATAGCCTCTTGCCAGATTAGCCTCTTTGCCCCTTTGTTCTCAGTTTAGAAGCCAATCTGATCCAAACATTTAGGAGGAAATTTAGATTATGCCACCTTTCTCAAAACCTTGCAGTGGCTACCCCTGTCTCTCAGATTCCTTGGACATGTCAGCCTGCTCCCACCTTAGGGCCTTTGCTCTGCTGTCCACTGCCCGGAGTGCTCTTTCCCTCTTTATTCTCTGGGCCTCGTCCCTCGTCTCCTTCAGGTCAGATCTCACCTTTCCAGTGAGCTTCTCCGGACTGCCCTTTCTTTGAGTCAGCTGCCTCTTCTTTGGATCCCTGATCTTCTTTACCCTGCTCTACCTTTCCTGTTCCATATGCTTATCACTTTCTAATATACTAAAGGTATGCATATCCTTTGTGGTAGCCAATAGCCACATGTGGCCCTTTATATTTTAATTAATGAAAATTAAATAAAGTAAAAAATTTGGTTCGTCATCAGTCACGCTGACCACATGTTAAGTGCTCAAGAGTCAATGTGGCTGGTGGCTACTCTATTTGATTGTACAGAGAACATTTGCATCATCTCAGAACGTATTATTGGACTACACTGGTACAGAATTTACAGATTTATTGTGTTTGATGTTTATTCTCTGTCTCTCACAAGAATATAAACTTCATAAAGGCAGAGGTTTTTCTCTAAATAGAGAAATTATTTATAAAATTATTTACTGTAGAAAAGTTACCTAGAACACTAGTTGGCACATAGTAGGTGATCAATAAATACATGTTGAATTGAGTGGAATTACCATTTTATTTGAAATAATTAAAAGTGAATTTCTGTTTCATTCACAAAGTTATTATTAAAATAAAAATATTTGTAACTAACATTTTTGGAATGCTTATGTGCTGGGTCTGGCACTGCCCTAGGTATTTATTTCACTGAATTCTTTAAAAGTTGTGTATGGGGGCGCCTGGGTGGTTCAGTTGGTTGAGTGTCCGGCTCTTGATTTTGGCTCAGTGTCATGAGATCGAGCCCTGTGTTGGGCTCTCCGTTCAGCATGGAGTCTGCTTGAGATTCTCTCCCTCTCCCTCTGCTCCTCTCCTTGCTTGTGCACTCTCCCTCTCTCTAAATAAATAAATAAAATCTTTAATGAAAAAAAAAGGTGTGTGTGTATAAGATTCCCATCTATAGATCAGGGAATGGGCACAGAGAGATTGAGTGGCTTGACCAAGGAGCACAAACCAGCTTAGTGGGACAGCCAGAATTTAGACCTGCTACACGTGACTTTCAGTGCTTAGGGCCTAGCCAATGCTCAGTTATCTACTTCATGTGTTTCAGGTTAATTTTGCAGTTCAGGTTAAATCTGTCCTTCTACTCATCTGCTCATTGGGGGAATTAAAGTTAATGATATTTTATATAAAAAGGAAATGTTATGCTTACTGCTGAGTTGTTTTGGCAACATACAGTGAGTTAAGGATCAGGTTTTTTTAAAAAAGTTGATACTTAAGATCTCAGATTTCAGTAACCTAAGAAATTACTCATTTAAAAATACCGATGTAAAATGTATTTTCAGAACTGCAGTTAGATAGTGATCACAGCAGATATCACCTGCCACATTTAGATTGTTCTGATTTTAGCCTGTATTGTGTTAGTTTGATCTCTTGGTATTTAGTTGCAGTTGCTTATTTCCACATAGACTATGTGTGTGTGTTTGTATTTGCATGTGTATAAAATAAAATCACTTCCTGGAAACTAAGGTACAAATGAGCAGTGAAATCTGACTTTATTTTCTCCAGGTTTGTTGTTGTTATTAAGGTGATACTGACTGGGATTCAGTCATTGTAAGAAACCAGGATAGTGGTGGTAATAAATTTTTAACCAATGTTTCTTGTGTGCCAGGCACTCTGCTAAAGCCTTTTACGTGCATTATCTCATTTAATGCCAACAAAAGTTCTTGGAGGTAGGGGCTTTTTACAGTTCATGAAATTATTGTGTGTCCAAGGTGGCTGATAAGTGACAGAGAGGGAATATGAACATGCTTCCTCCCACTCCCAATCTCCACAAGGAGTCTGTATTCTTCAGAGACTGTATGCTTTGAAAAAAACCTAGAGTTAATTGATAGAAATATCTGAAGTAAAGGAGATATATTTTTATTTCCCTTTTTATACTCTTCCCAAGTCTTCCAAATTTCTGTCTTAGATTGAGGGACTGTCATGAGTGCCTTCTACATTTGAATTGAGAACTGTTCTTCTCAACTCACTCTGTACACTGGAATCAAATGGGGGGTGTTTAAAAAACATGCCTGAGTCCCATCCCCAGAGGTTTTGATTTAATTGATTTGGGATACCACCTGGACGTTGGGATTTTTAAACGTGCTTTGGGTAGTTACAATGTCCGGTGAGGGTTGAGAACCCATGGTGTGTGCCAGTGGTCCCCAAACTTGTTTGCACATTGGAGTCACCTGGGGGGCTTCAGAAACCACTGATGCCTGGGCTTCTCCCCCAGGATTGTGATTTAATTGGTCTGTGCTGGGGTCTGGAGTTTGGAAGTGTTAAGATTTCCCAGGTGATTCCAGTGTGCAAACAGATTTGGGGACTTCTGGTTTATGCAGTGGTTTTGGACCTTGGCTGCACATTAGTATCACTTGAAGAATTTTAAAAACTCCCATTATCCTGGTTTACGCCCACCCCAATTAAATAGAATCTTTGGCAGTGGACCTAGTTTTTGACACTCCAGGTGATTCTGGCATGCAGCCAAAGGGGAGAAGTTCAGGGTTCTTCATTTTCTCTCCTATATACTTTTGGACCAAGGCCATTTAGTTTCACAACTCAGAATACTTGTGGAATGAAGGGAGAAATGATTGGTCTAGAAGAGGCTTTTCCTTATACTGCGCTCAGCTTCCTCCCCCCATAATTTTATTGTGGTAGAATATATACATAACACACTATTGACCAGTGCAGCCATTTTTAAGGTATACGATTCAGTGTCATTAGGTACATTCTTAATATTGTGCAGCTGTCACCACTATCCCTTTTCAGAACTTTGTCATCATCCCTAACAGAAGTTCTGTACCCAAGAAAAAATAACTCCTTGTTTTTCCCTCTTCCCAGCCTCTGGTAACCTTCCACTTTCTGTCTGAATTAGCCTATTCTAGGTACCTCAGATAAATGGAATCATACATTTGTCCCTCTGTGTTGGGCTCTTTTCACTTAGCCTGGATTCATCCATGTTGTTACCTGTCAGCATCGCATTCCTTTTGCAAGGCTGAATAATATTTCATTGCACATTTATACTAAATTTTGTTTATCCACTTATCTGTTGATAAACATTTGAGTTCATTTTCTTAAACCAATGTGAAAGAATACAGAGCTAAGCAAATTATGGAAAGTAATATGTCCTGCATTCCAGATAATTAGCTAACAAAGTTCGTTTTGTCTGCTTATATTCATGTGGTTTAATTAGTATTAAAACCGAAGATGAGACTGCTGATTTTTCTGATTTACTAATTCTAGCACCCCCCGGCCCTTGTTTTATATTATTTGAATGGTATCAAAAATGAATTTGCCTTCTATAACCAAAGAACCATTAAGAAAAATTAAAATTCTTTAATTAAGAAAAATAAAAGTGATATTCTTTCCCCATGCCTTATAGAGCTTGTTCCTTTTCACTGTGTTCTCCAGGAGTACCAGGTGTCAAAGAAGAACGTTTTGAAGAGGGGATGATGGTAAAGCACTGTGCGTTGTCCCTTGTGGGAGAACCCATCATGTACCCAGAAATCAATAGGTTTTTGAAACTACTCCACGAGTGTAAAATCTCCAGTTTCCTGGTCACAAATGCACAATTCCCTGTGGAAATCAGGTGAGACATCCAGCTTATTAAGATACTCTGCTTGGATCTGTGTTTGACTGAAGGCATTAATGTATTCAAAAAGGGGTTATTGATTACAAATTACATACACATGTTGGCTTTTTGGGGCTGAGAGATGGGCCTACTCTTAAAAATTCGTTCTATTAGGGAAGATAACATTAGTAGAAAGAATAGAGGAACAAATCAATTGCTGGGGGAATTCAAAAGAGAATGCAGTTTTTTTTTTCTACAAGGGGAGAAACAGGGTAAAACTTCTCAGAGAAGCCACTGTTTAATTGGAATCTTAAAGGTAGGAAGCTGTAGTTTTTAGTAAGAACCTCCTGAGAAAGGTAGGAAGTTAGGGTATTTGTGATACCATTATGTAAATATAGTTCATCTGGACCACAGAGTGTGTGAAAGAGACTGGCAGCTGGAAACCAAGTTGAAAAGGTAGGGGGTAGATTGTAGAGGACTTCAAGTGCTGTTCTTTGGAAAGATCTTGCTTCCTGCAGAGCCGTCTGCTAGCATGGTGTAAAACGGGAGAGCCAGAAAGCAGGCAACAAGATAGGAGAGTGTTTGTTTAGGTAAGAGTCATAAAGATGAAAGTAAGACAGTGAGAATGAGGAGCCCTAAGACAGACATTATTGAGACGTAATAGATCAGCTTGGCAAACTGCATGGCTCTGAGAGCCCAGCATAGAAGAGGACCAGTTAATGGCTGGAGGGGTTCCAGCCATGTTGATTGCTAGGATTATGGGGCCCTGGAGCAGTAGAGGATCGCATAAGGAATAGGTTTAGCATGTAAGATGTTGAGTTGGTTTGGGTGACTTAGAGGGAAAGCTTTACAGATGGAGATGACCATCTTCTGAGGCCTGGAAATGACCTGTTTTTGCATTATACTTGAACTATTCATATGTTATAACACCAAAAACATTAAATTTTACTTATTTACTTGTGTTTTCCCCATAAGACTGAGTTGCTTGAGACTGGTGACCCCTGCTTATTTATCTTCGTGTCCCTAGTATAGTGTCTATAAGTTCTCAGGAGATGGCTAGTGAAATATTGGGGAAATTCCCACATAGGAATAAAAGACAATGATCTTTTAAAATTCAAAGTTGTTTTGTAAATACTGACCAATAAAGAGTAACATGAAAAAAAGGAGAAAATAATTTTCAAATATAAAAAGACAGTATTAGAGTGACGTCAGAGTCATGGAGGACTGCCTTGTTCCTTTTTTCTCTTGCCTTCCATTTACAACTAATCAGACTCCCATAACCAAACAAAAAAAAAGTACCTCTGTACAGCACACCAGGACACCCAAGAGATGCATTTGTCTGTGCACCCAGAAGTGGGTGGATTGGGCATTGGAGGGGGCCGTGGAGTGAGGGGAGTGGCAGCAGAGGCTGCAGAGACAGGTCTGGTAGGGAGCCAGCACCACCCTTCTGGCAGGGGAGGTGGAGGCTGAAGGTGGTTGCTACAGAGCCAGAGAACCTGTTGCTCTCTCTGAGAGACCAGTGACTGGGGTGGGGAGGAAAAGGGAAGGGAAGAAGGCAGACACAGAACTGAAGGAAAGTATGTTTCCTGCTGTCTGCCCCAGGGAATTTAGGCAAAATAACTGCCCATGGAGCTCTGGGAACCCCCCCACTTGAGGATCCTACTACCTGGTCATGGGGCACACCCAAAGCCCTAGGTGCTAAGCACACCCCTCCTTCCACTCTGCTGCCACCTCCCCCCCCCGCTTTTTAAAATTTTTTTAGTTTTTTAATTTTTTATTTTTTTGAAAGATTTTATTTGAGAGAGAGAATGAGAGAGAGAGAGAGCACATGAAAGGGGGGAGGGTCAGAGGGAGAAGCAGACTCCCCGCTGAGCAGGGAGCCCGATGGGGGACTCGATCCCAGGACTCCAGGATCACGACCTGAGCCGAAGGCAGTCGCTTAACCAACTGAGCCACCCAGGCACCCCCCCGCCCCCCGCTTTTTTTTTTTTAAATGCACAGCTCTCCCAGCCTTAGTGGGGAGTCAGCTCTGGTAAGAGAAACCAAAAACTTGTGCTGCAGCGCCACCTTCTGGAAGATAAAAGGAAGGCTTCCAATTACCAACCTGTTAAAACTATTAGAATCAAAGTAAACAAGGCTTTTACCTAAATAAGAAAGGTGTTTGCTGCTTTGGATGCAGCGGCAGAGGCACTTTTCATGAAACACTATGAAAAATCATGGTTACATGGTATCACAAAAGGAAAATGACAATTTTCTAGTAACCAAACCCAAAACACAGACTGTTGCAATCTGATACATAATTAAAAACTAGCTATTATGATGAAATTCAACAAGCTACAAGAAAACTTAGAAAGGCAATACAGTGATCTCAGGAATAAAATTAATGAATAGAAGGAATACTTTACCAAAGAGATTGAAATTCTAAAGAAGAACCAAACAGAACTCTGGAGCTGAAAAACTCAATAAATGAAGTGAAGAATGCATTTAGAAAGCATTAGAAACAGAGCAGATCAGATGGAAGAGAGAATTCACGAGCTGGAAGATAGGAATCTAGAAATGACTCAGGTGGAAGAGGAGAGAGAACTAAGATTTTAAGAAAATAAAGAAACCCTGTGAGTTTCTCCATTAGGGGAGTCCACATTAGATGAATGGGTATATACCGGAGGGATAAGAGAGAGAGAAGGGAGCAGAGAGCATATTTAAAGAAATAATAGCTGAGAACTTCCCAAACCTGAGGAAAGAACTGGACATACAAGTCCACAAAGCTAATAAAACACTTATCTCAATGTGAAAAGACCTTCTTTAAGACACATTATATTAAAACTGCAAAAGTCAATGGTAAAGAATTTTAAAGGCAGCTGGGGGAAAAAGACAATAACTTACAAAGGAACCTGCGTTAGGCTATCAGCAGATTTCTCAGCAGAAACTCTACAACCTTGGGAAGAGTGGTGGGATGATTTTTTCAAAATATTGAAAGATAAAAACTGCCTCCCAAGAATATCTGGCAAAGTTATCCTTCAGATATGAAGGAAAGATAAAGGCTTTCCCAGACAAACCAAAACTGAGGGGGGTTCACTACCACTAGACCTGCCTTACAAGATATGTTGCAAGGAGCTCTTCAAGCCGAAATGGGAAGATGAAAGTACACAAAACTCTGATTAAGGTGGTAAATGGACAATTAGAAGACTGTAACCCTTTTTTAGAATAGTATATTAAACTCTTAATTATAGTATAAAGGTTAAAGGAAAAGCATTAAGAAGTTGTGGCTACTACAACTTGGTAACAAAATAACAGTATGAAAAGGTAATTTGTGACATCAAAAATATCGAAGAATAACAATTATCATATGGTTTCATTCACATGTGGAATATAAGGAATAGCACAGAGGGCCATAGGGGATGGGAGGGAAAACTGAATGGGAAGAAATCAGAGTGGGCGACAAACCATGAGAGACTCTGGAATCCGGGAACCAAACTGAGGGTTACAGAGGGAGGGGGTGGGGGGATGGGATAGCCTGGGGATGGGCATTAAGGAGGGCACATGCTGTGATGAGCACTGGCTGTTATACGCAACTAATGAACACTACATGAAAAACTAGTGATGTACTGTATGTTGGCTAATTGAACATAATAAAAATTAAAAAATATTGAAGAATTAAAAGGATGGAATTTTTATAGGCAAATCTTGATTTGCTATCAGCAGAAAAAATGACTATTTTATCTAGGAGCTGTTTTTGTAATCCTCATGGTAATCACTAAGCAAAAATGTAGAGCATAGACATGAAACATAAAGAAGAGGGGAGACTGAGCAAATCACCATGGAAAACCACCAACTTACAAAGGTAGAAACAGAAGGAAAAAGAAACAATGGGAAAGCAAAAGATAAAATGGCAGTAGTAAATCATTACATATCAGTAATCACCCAAAATGTAAATGGATAGAACCCACCAGTCACAGGGCACAGAGTGGCTGAATGGATTAAAACAAAAAAACCCACAAGACTCAACTATATGCTGCCTATAGAAGACTTTTTTCAGCTCTAAAGACACCTACAGGCACATAGTGAAAGGATGGAAGATGACAGTCCAAACAGATGGAAATCAAAAGGAGGTAGATGGGGCAGTACCTATATCAGACAAAATAGACTCCAAGCCAAAAAGGATAACAAGAGACAAAGAAGGTCATTATATAATGATAAGTGAATCCGTACATCAAGAAGATAGAACACTTGTAAATATATACAGTTCCAGTACCCAAGCACTGAAATATATTAAGCAAATACTAAGAGAGCTTGAGCTATAAATCAATAATACAATAATAGTAAAGGACCCAAATACCCCACTATCAGCAATGGATGGATCAGGAAATCATTCAGACAGGAAATCAATAAGTAAACATTAGAATTGAACCACACTTTAGAACAAATGGACTTAACAGACATATATAGAACATTCCAAAATAAATAATTTAGCAACAAAAAACAATCTGATTGGAAAATGGGCAGAAGAACTAAATAGGCATTTTTGCAAAGAAGATATCAAAATGGCCAACAGGTGCATGAAAAGATGCTCAACATCACTCATCATCAGGGAGATGCAAATCAAAACCACAGTGAGATACCACCTCATACCTGTTAAAACGGCTGTTACTGAGAAGACGAGACAACAGGTGCTGGCGAGGATGTGGTGAAAAGGGAACCTTTATACTTTGTTGGTGGGAATGTAAGTTGATGCAACCACCATGGAAAAGAATATAGAGGAATATGGAGGTTTCTCAAAAAATTAAAAATAGACCTACCATATGACCCAGCAACTCCACTTCTGGATATATACCCAAAGAAAATGAAAACAGGATTTTGATGAGTTATATGTACTTCATGTTTATTGCAGCATTATTCACAATAACCAAGATATGGAGACAACCCAAATGCCCATCAACAGATGAAGAGATAAAAGAAGTGTGGTACATATACACAATGAAATATTATTCACTGATGAGAAAGGAGGATATCCTGCCATTTGCAACAACTTGGATGAACCATATTATGGTATGCAAGTCAGAGGAAGACAAGTACCAAATGATATCACTTGTATGTGGAATCTCAAAAAGTTAATTTGTTAAAAAAAAGTAAAAGTAAAATGGTTACCAGGGAATGACGGAGGGTGGAGTTTAAGGGTACAAACTTGTTACAAGTAGTAAATAACCTGTTAGAGACCTAATGCACAGTATAATGAGTATAGATAATAGTATTGTACTAAATTATGTAGTGGATAAATGTTACATTGACAGTCATATCACAGTATATAAATGTAACATGCTGTACACCTTAAACTTACACAGTGTCACATGTCCAATTTACTCAATAAAAAAGACACTACTGTTTGTAAAAAGAATGATCATACACATCCAGGCACACACAAAGTCAGTTTAAAATTTAGCATCATAGGAAATCAGAGAATTGGTTAAAATTGGCTACTGGGCAATAATAAAACCAGTGACATTGTCACAAGGATAGCTAAAATACTACTTTTTGAAGTTGTATATAAAAAGATAAAGTTAAAAGGGAAACGTTTTTAAAATGCCAGTGTATAAATTTTGTATGGGTTACCATTCCTTTTTAAACACTTTTGTTAGGTTTAAAACCCCTGGGTTTTCAGATGGCTCATGAGGGAGAAGTTGCGATAGAGAGGTGTTGGGATTTATATACATACAACATATACAAAAAGGGAGTCTATCCCAAATTTGAGGCGTATATGTGTAAAAAGAATGAAATCTGCCAGAAGTGGGATGTAGGTAATTCTCTGTGAAATGATGATGATCATTGTTTGCTCCTGCGAATGCTCACGGACTGAAGAAAATTACAGAGGGGTAAATAAGCTGTGTCCAGCAAAATGCCTGGCACATAGTGAACATTCAGGAATTGTTCTTGGGTCTGTCTTCCCCACTCTGTCTGGTGAACCTCCTCTTGTCAGTGGGGGGATCATGATACAACACAATGTCCATGCTGGTCTTGACTGCCATCAGTGAAAAATGGGATACAAAGGCATTGATTAAACCAGTCTTTTAGTATTGACACTGGTAAATTGGAAGGGAGGCAAAGAGGAAGAAGTGAAGTGGCAAGGGCCTGGGAATAGGAAATGAGCAGATTTCTCTGATGTTGAACACAAGAGTTTAAAAAAATGGAAGGATACACCCTGTGAGGAGTACTCAAGAAAGAAAGAGTGCTCAGAAAAGGGAAGTTCCTTTTTTCGCTTTTTAAATCATTCTTTAAGCTCCTGTATCAAGGGTGCCATGGTTCAGGGGAGTGCATCCCTTCTTTAGTTATGTTTAACTGGGCAAAGGAGAGAATATGTGGGAAGTAGCCATTTTAGGTTTGGACCTCAAAGAGTTGGCATATCTTGGTTATTTATTGAAATAATCCAAAAGCTGAGATCAACGGTTATTGCTAAGACCAACATACTATTGCTAGGATCTGAGAAGAATTTCTGATAATTGATACCCTAAGAGAAGTGGATTGAAGAACATAATGTTTAGGTGTACCTTTCTTTAATGCAGAGGGGTCCTACTGGTGTGGCAATAATATATAAGCCCAGTTGTTAGGAGTCCTAAATATAAGGTAACTTTCCTACCCCAACATTTCCCCAAAGAATGATGTGAATAGTTCATAAAAAAGTTAAAAGAAGAGCACTGAGATTTGACATAGCAGATACTAAGATGTGTTATAAAACTATGAGTTTCAAATACTCTGGACTGTACAGTGGTGAAACAAAATCGTCCTGAGGTGCCCCTACTTTTAAGCTAATATTTTCCTGACCTGAGACCTCTTTGAGTTGAGCTAAGTGCTCTCTCACTTTAACCCATTGGCCCAAGAGAAAATGGAAAGAGAAATACTTCTCTGAGTACAGATCATACTGTTTTATTTCCATGAATTCGGAGGAATCCAGGTACCAATTGTCTCTGGTGTCTTAGTTTCTTTCAGAAAAACAAGGCAATAGATTTATGAATATAGCACAGAGACCATGAATTTTGGGAGTTACCCCTAATGTTTATATTGCTAATTCTGTACAGCAGGTCAGCTCATTCAGTTGAGCTATCAAGTGAACATCTTGCAACCATTTTTCATTGAGCATGCTCTGGAAGTAATAATGCACTCTGGGTAGTTGGTGGTTTACTAAGTTTTTTTTTTTTTAATTAAAAATTTTTTTCCCTAAATTACTGTAGTACTGCCCATACTTTGATACGTTCTAAGGAGATTCTTGACTTTGCCAGTTGGCCTTCCCTTGACCCACACGCAAGTGTATATTCAGACTACTTGCCTTTTCATGATACTTAACTTTTCCTTAAGAGAATTTCAGTCTCCCCTCTAGCTGCAAAGTATGTGGCTTTTTGCTGACAGTTCTCCCACCAAGGGGAGTTTTTACAGTGAGTGGTCCTCAAGGATTATGGAGGATAGAAGCTAACACCTTGGGCAAATGAGAAAGCTAATAAAAGCTACCAGAATATGTAAGACACTTAGTATTAATAATAGGACTGGTAGTGATTGGACCGTAAAAGCCTTTTCTCTTGAGGAAAGGCCCTCTTAATTCCATAAAAACAAGTGGTTTTATAGTCATATTTTTGGCAGGCATATATCTCTGCGATGTTGTAGGATCTTATCAGTTATCTTTTCTTGTAATCACTCATCTTAAAACCGAGTCACTCAAACTAACAACCATTTATTTAGCTCATAATTCTGGGTCAGCGGGGAGACCTTTTGATCTTGCCTGGCTTTGCTGGTCTCAGTGTTGTTCATGTGTCAGCTGGCAGATCTGCTGGGCTGGCTGGTTTATCTGGCCATGGCTGGGACAACTGGGGCCTCTATTCGTGTAGCGTCTTATTTTCCAGTAAGCTAGTCTGAACTTTATCCCAGCGGCAGGATTTCATAGAGCAGCACGAGAGGGTGAGCTTCAATGCATAAGCATCATTTGAGCATCTGCTTGTGTCATACTTGCTCACTCCCATTGGCCAAAGCAAGTCCCAGCTAAGAGGGCACCGCCAGCTGCAGGGCAAGGGGACATGGATATAGGCAGGGGAGGAATTAATGGCCATGTTTGATAGTTCACTATATAGCACAAGAGGCAAGAGGCTGTAGTGGTCCAGGAGGATAACCTCGAACCACTGGGACTCCTTATTTTTTAGGAACTCAGTTGAAAAAAAAAAAAGATAATTTTATGGGATGGCTGGAGGGTCGTTAGACCAAAGGTTTCAAATTGGTAGTTGATCACAAGTAGGTTTTTATTT